GGGGTCTACCGGAGGGGGACCGGGAGCAAGGAAGAGCGGCGGGGGCGGGAAAGGGGCAGAGCGGTAGGGGAAGAGACGGTAATAGGGAACCGACTCGTCCAATGTGACGTCCTGAGAGTGGAAGACATGGCGCGAGGTGGGGTGGTAAAACTGCCAGCCAGGCGCGTCAGGGAAGCACGGGCGGAGAGCTTGTCCGCGGACGAATCGCGAACCAAGGCACGAGAGCCCCAGACCCATAACACCGACGCATTGCCAACCTCCCCCGTCCAACGAAGTGTGTGCGAGGTCTCCGGCAAGGAGACAGAGGGCCATAGGTTGAGCTGATGCGCAGCGTACCGGACCGCAAACGGCCACAGAAAATGGGGAGCAGCCGCATGGATCATGGAGGTACGAGCGACCTCCATGACTAAGCCAATGCGGCGCTCAGAAATCCCATTTTGCTGAGGGGAGTCCAGAAGCTTGAACGACTGGAGAATGCCCTCCCCACGACAAAAGTCCCGCAAGAGGTCGGAGGAGAACTCACCACGGCTACCTGACCTGACACGGACACCTGAGCAGACGCAGCTACACGAGGAAGCTCGGTAGAGAGTGTGTATAGACTCGACCCTGACCGACGAGTGAACGTGGCCAGGTGGCGCCCCGTCCGTGTGCACGTGCAGATCGACACACGCTGACCCCCAAGAGTGGTGGTAGTGACCATCGCATCCTTGAGGGCAGCGGTACTCACCAAGTTCGTAGAGAACGAGGGGAGGTGAAGACCTGACTGTGAGCCGGACGGAACCGCCGGACACGGGAGGATAGTGGAAGAACGGGCCACGACCGGGCCCCCAGAGGGGTTAGCCAGTCGGGCCGGGACAGGTGCAGAGAGAGGAGTGAGAGTGGTGCTATCACGAAAGAAACAAGCAGAGGCGCCTGAGTCCAGCGTGAAGGTGTGCAAGGCCCGAGCAGGCGCAGTACCAAGGAGAGTACCAGACTCACTAGCACCTAGCGCAGCAGCAGCTATACCTGGGTCAGGCGGTACACACCGGTAACAGTCACCCTCAGCACTAACAGACAAAGCATACATAGCAGAAAGAATAGCGTCTTACGTCTGCATTCTGACAGAGGTGGTGAGTTCTCCTCCGACCTCTTGCGGGACTTTTGTCGTGGGGAGGGCATTCTCCAGTCGTTCACGCTTCCGGACTCCCCTCAGCAAAATGGGATTGCTGAGCGCCGCATTGGCTTAGTCATGGAGGTCGCTCATACCTCCATGATCCATGCGGCCGCTCCCCATTTTATGTGGCCATTTGCGGTCCGGTACGCTGCGCATTAGCTCAACCTTTGGCCCCGTGTCTCCTTGCCGGAGACCTCGCCCACACTGCGTTGGACGGGGAAGGTTGGCGATGCGTCGGTGTTCCGGGTTTGGGGTTCTCGTGCCTTTGTTCGCGAAACATCCGCGGACAAGCTCTCCTCCCGTGCTATCCCCTGCGTCTTCCTTGGCTTTGTCCCTGAGGCGCGTGGCTGGCAGTTTTACCACCCCACCTCGCGCCGTGTCTTCCCCTCTCAGGACGTCATGTTTGACGAGTCTACCGTCTCTTCCCCTACCGCTCTGACCCTCCCTCGCCCCCGCTGCTCTTCCTTGCTCCCGGTCCTCCTCCGGTAGACCCCCTCCCGCCCCAGGATCCTGCTCCCTCGGGTGTGTCTCAGGTAGACCCTCTCCCTGGTACTGCGCCTGTTCAGGTTGCTGTCGGCTCAGGTGCTGCTCCAGGTGCAGCGTCTGGGGGTGCTGGGTCTGGGGGTGCGGAGCCAAGGGGTGCGGAGTCTGAGGGTGTTGGGTCTGGGGGTGCTGGGCCTGGGGGTGAGGAGCCTGGGGGTGCTGAGCCTGCGGGTGTGGAGACTGGGGGTGTTGAGCCTGGGGGTGCTGAGTCGGAGGGTGCGGAGTCTGGGGGTGCTGAGCCTCGGGGTGCTGCTTCGTCTGGAGGTCCTGCTGGTGCTTCGCCACGACTATCTCCTTAGCAGCTGCATGAGTGGTTTGTTCGGCGCGCACGCCTTCGGAGTGAAGCTACCGGAGCTGGAGGCGCTGGAGACGCTGGAGCTGGAGGTGCTGGAGTTACTGCAGGAGCTGGTGGTACTAGAGGTACTGCGGCTACTGGTCCTGGAGGTGCTCGTACCACGTGTACTGGAGCTGCCGGGCCTAGTGGTGTTGAGGACGCTGGAGCTGGAGACCCTACTGAGCCTGGAGCTACTGGAGCTGGAGGCCCTGGCGCTGGTGGCGCTGGAGCTGGAGGTGCTGGAGCTGCAGGGGCTCGATTTGTTGACCCTGGAGCTGGAGGTACTGGAGGCACTGTGCAGCCGCGACCGTACTTCGTTCCCCTGCTTCAGCAGGTTTTTGGTGTCCCGCCTTCTACCGGCCTTCCTCCTCCCCTCCTGTGTCCACCGCCTGACCAGTCGCAGCTGCCGTTGCAGCCGGCCTCTCCACTGCCTGCTCCCTCTCCTTAGACTGAGCAGTTCGGTGGTCTTACAGAGCGTCGTGAGCCTGCGTCTCGTCCTGTCTCGCCTGTTCTCACTGCTCGTCGCGTTCCTCGTTCGCGTCCTCCTCCTGTTCCCGGCACGCACGCTATGGCACTTCGTCCTTCCTCTGTTCCACTGCGTGTTCCTCTGCCTGCTCCTCCTGAGTCCTCTCTTCCTGAGGTACCTGACCCTGAGTCTGACCGCGCTCGTGCTACCAGTCCCACTGTCGCTCGTCTCCTCGCCACTGCTGTCACTGACCCTTCCTTTGAGTCTGCTGCTGCGTCTGCTCTCATTGTTGAGCTTCTTGACTTTGCTGCTGCCTTTCGTCTAGACTACGCCACTGCTCTTGTTGCTGAATCTGCGTCTGCCAGTCCTTCTTCCGTCGAGGGTGACTGAGCCGTTGGCACGGACGTCCTTGAGGACAGGCGGGAGGACTTTGAGTGTCTTGCAGCTGCTGTACCTCATTTCGCTTCCATGCTGCTTGCCCCTGAGGGAGACCCGGATGCACCAGACATCCCAACCCCGCGCTCTTACGCAGAGGCGATTACGGCTCCTTACTCCTCTTAGTGGCAGGCAGCCATGGATGCCGAGATGGCATCCTGGAAGTCCACAGGCACCTACGTCGACGATGTTCCCCCACCTGGGGCGAACATAGTCGATGGCATGTGGATTTTCAGGGTGAAGCGGCTGCCGGGTTCTCCGCCTGCCTTCAAGGCGCGTTACGTTGCTCGAGGCTTCAGTCAGCGACAGGGGGTTGACTACTTCCAGACCCTCTCCCCCACCCTGAAGATGACTACTCTTCGGGTGTTGCTGCACGTTGCTGCTCAGCGTGACTACGAGTTGCACTCTCTAGACTTCAGCACAGCTTTCCTGCAGGGCAGCCTGCACGAGGAGATCTGGCTGCGCCGCCCACCTGGCTTCACTGGGTCGTTTCCTGCAGGTACTCAGTGGAGCCTCCGGCGGCCAGTCTACGGTCTCCGCCAGGCGCCTCACGAGTGGCACGACACGGTGAGGACTACACTTGCGGCTCTTGGGTTTGCTCCTGCTACTGCTGACCCGTCGCTGTTTCTACGCACCGACACGTCGCTGCCGCCGTTCTACGTCCTCGTGTACGTCGACGACCTCGTATTTGCCACTGCTGACACTGAGGCACTGACCCTTGTGAAGTCGGAGCTGCAGAAGAGACACACCTGCACTGACCCGGGTGAGCTCCGCAGCTATCTTGGCTTGCAGATTACCCGGGACAGATCACGGCGCACCATCACCCTGACTCAATCACACATGGTGCACCAGGTCCTTCAGCGCTTCGGCTTCCAGTTCTCCTCGCCACAGCCCACTCCTCTGTCTACCAGCCACTCGCTCTCAGCTCCACCTTCGGACGAGTCCGTAGAGCCGAGTGGTCCGTACCCAGAGCTTGTGGGTTGCCTCATGTACCTGATGACGTGCACACGACCTGACCTCGCGTACCCTCTCAGCCTTCTGGCTCGCTACGTGGCTCCCGGTAGGCACCGAAAGGTGCACTGGGATGCTGCGAAGAGGGTACTGCGCTACTTGTGCAGTACGGCAGGCATGGGGATCGTGCTTGGAGGACAGGGTCCAGTTGTCCTCACCGTTCACGCAGACGCTTCCTGGGTTGACGACTCAGCTACGCAGTGGTCGTCACAGGGTTACACCTTCAGCCTTGGTTCCGGCTCTGTTTCCTGGCGGTCTACCCGCTCGTCTTCGGTTCTCAGCTCCAGTTGTGAGGCTGAGATCTACGCCGGGGCCATGGCTGCACAGGAGCTACGCTGGCTCACCTACCTGCTGACCGACTTGGGAGAGCAGCCTCGTTTACCTCCAGTTCTGTACGTAGACAACAAGGCCATGATTGCCTTGCGTCAGGAGCACGGACTGGAGCACAGAACGAAGCACATCGCTCTGCGATACTTCCTTACTCGAGAGTTGCAGCAGCGTGGCCAGCTTCGTCTTGCGTACGTGGCTACTAGGGCCAACACTGCTGGTATATTCACCAAGGCACTTCCGCCTGGTGATCATCAACGTTTCTTTACTGTGTTAGGCCTTGTGCCTACTTTGCCTCACTTGCTTATTTTGTGACTTTGCTTGTACTGTGATATATACATATATATATATATATATATATATATATATATATACCTGCATGCTTGCTCTTGCTATCACTGTATTGTTTGTTCTCTTTTATATAACTCTGCATGTGAACTGGCCTTGTGGCCCTTTGCTTGTGCTCGGACTGTGTGGTGACTTTGTGATCCACCCTGAGCTTGCTTTGCTTTTCTTGACTGGTCTTGCGACCACTTGTTCTCCCCCACTTTGCCTATGGGGGTGTGTCAAACTTATATATAGCTTACATTGTGTAGGCTGTACTGGGGTAGCCCATAAGGGGTACAACCCAATTAGGGTTAGTACTTGTACCCAATTCTTTCATAGTTCATTCATTCTCGTTCATTCTTCTGACACCTATATCCGGGAATTCCCGTATGTCTTGGGGTATTTTACTCAAGCAACCCTGGTTCCAAAGGGTGCCTCAATACAGTTTGATTCTTGGGTCCCTGATCAACACCCGAAGGCACGACATGCGGAACTCAATCCATACAGTACTGGTACTTGCAATTCTGCTTTGAACGTTTCTTTGTTAATCCGGAAATAAGCACCAATAATAATGGATGAATATACAAACAGCTATTAGAGTTAATAGGGACAGCTATACCTCAATTTAATCGTCATATAGGTCCTCTGACTCGTCCGAATCATATCTCTCATCACCTCTTGCCGCGTGCAGTGGCCTGCGTGCCTCCTCCCTCCCATCATCCCTACCTGCTTCCCGCCCACTCCCTACCCTCCTTCCACTTCCCAGCCCCCTCCCACTCCCGGGTCCCGAGTCATACTCATGCCGCCCGGACATCCCCTGCTGACGTGGTCCCCTCACAGGAGTGTATTCCTCCACGTCATCCGGGTCCGAATCCTCGTCATCATAGTCGCGTGTGGGAGCCGGCATGTGGCGAGGCGGCTGGCGAATAGCAGCAGCGCTGCCGCTCCTGCCATGGCTGTATGATGTATACGCACCACCATGCCCCCCAGGCGAGTCCATATCAATATCATCATACTCATACTCCGCACCCCTGCCCATATCCTCCTCTTCATCCTCATCCTCCTGCCGCCTCACATCACAGTACTCTCTCTCCCCTCTCCCACCACCACCGGTCATGAAGCTCACAGTGCTTCTGGGCCCGGCCCGAGTCAGCCCATCTGCTCTCCCTGCTGCTCCTCCTGCTGCTCCTGCTGCACCAAAACCGCCCACCCCAGCACCACCTACTCCTACCGCCCCTGGCAGCATTCTCTGACTGTCCCCTGCGTGTATGGATGCTTCCGCAGACACAGCTCTGGGCACGCCCTGGCCGCCCGCAAGCCCTCTCCCCGTTGCTGCTGCCTCCACAGAGAGTGACCGCGCCACTGCCCCCTGCGCTGACATCGCCCGCGGCACTCCCCCGCCTCTCCCTCCCCCTCTCCCTCCCCTTCCTCCTCGCCCAATCCCCCCACCTATCCCTCTCCCCATCCCTCCGCCTCCCCTCCCTCTGCCTGCGGGCCCAGCAGCTGCCACGCGCCGCACACCATTGGAGAAACCACCACCAGAGGCGGAGGAACCAGCCGACACAGCCCGCGGCACCCCCCCTGCTGTTCCTGGTCCTGCTGCTGCTGCGCCTGCCTGCGAGCTCCTTGAGCGAGGAACAGGCGGCTTTGTATCTCGGCTGCTGCCGCCCCTCCCTCGCCCACACTCCACGTCCTCCTCGTCTTCCGACCTCACCCAGTCGCTATCCTCACCGTCCTCCTCCTCTCCCCCCCTGCTGTTGCTCTTTAACGCGGATTTCACCCCCGGCTGCTGCAGCTCCCACGGTCTCGGCTGCGCGATTTTTGCCTTTTTCTTCGCCTCTTCCTCCTCGGCCAGTTCTTCCAATCTCTGCGGGCAGCAGCACGCGAAGAGCTTTCTCTTCGCGGCCTGGCTGTTGCGGTAGAAGATGCAGAGCGGCACGCCTATAACGAGTCCGATTATAGTGAAGATGATCATAGCGGTCATAACGGCCCAGGGGCTCGCAGGCTTGTTCCGGCAGTCGGTACTAAGGACGTCTTTAAAGAGGCAGGAGAAGTCGTAGCCGTGCTTGATGCTGTCTGCTGACATGTTGAACGGCGCGCTGCCTCCGCTGCTGGCGCTGTTGCTGCTATTGGTGCTGCTGCTGTTGCCGCTGCTGCTTGGGTCAGCCCCGGGTGCTGGTGCGGATCCGGGGGTGGAAGGGGGAGGGGAGGCGGGTGCAGGCGCATTGGCTGGGTCGCCTGGTGGGACAGGGGAAAAGGGGCAGGGGAGCGCGGGGGAATGGGGAAGGGGGAAGGGGGAAGGGGAGAGGTTAGGAAGAGGAAGGGACTGGAGCAACGGGAAAGGAAAAGGGGAACGTGAAACGCGGAGTGAGGGGAGTGGCTTCTGGAGCGAGCAAAGGCGCGGACAGTGGGGAGGGGGAGGCTGAGGGGTTCATTTGATTGCTGCGCGCCGATGGGTGACAGGCCTAAGAGCCGCAACAGCATGGCAGCACGGCAGCACGTTAGCATGTTTAGGTATTTTGTTACAGCTCAGGTGAGGGAAGGCGTGAGCGAGGGGGGTGTGAGAGGGGTTTCAGGGGAATGTGAGAGGAGGGAGGGGCAGCAACGGGCAGCAGTGGCGACTCACCTTGGGGCGTGTCCAGCGGCCGTGCTGCGAGTGCGACGGGGGGTTGTCGCATAGGGCTGGCGACGATTACGACCGCCAGCAGCAACATCAGCGGCGACCGACAGGCGACAGAGGCCAGGTTCAGGGGCGTTGACCCACGGGGGGGCGGTTGCGTCGCTCTCAGGCGCCTCGAAGCGTCCCGAGCCGGAATCTGCGGCGCGTCTGGCGGTAGGCGTCGGTGCTGCAGTGGCAAGCCCATGACGGCCGCTACGGCAGGCCTTTGCGTCACAGCGCGGGCGCAGAAGGGAGGAGGGACGGCGCGGGAGCGCGAAGGATCGTCGCAGCCGCGAGGTGAACGGAACGGAAGCGCTGGAGTGAGGAACGACTCCCGGGATCACGGAGATCAAAACTTGATAGCACGCACAGGCCCAGGCTCAGTCTCGAATTGGTGGTGTAATGCGCGAATAATGCGCTAATTCGGTGGTGTCTCGGTTCATAATGGTTCCCGCGGCCTTCCCGCGCGATTGCTATTACTACGGAACGGGACAAGTCGCGAGATGGTACAGTTGCCGAATGGAATGGACGCAGCTTGGGGGGTGTGAGGCTAGAAGTGCGGATTCTACGTGACATACGGGTATGGTGCTGGTGTGAACGAGAAACGCACGGAGAGCTGGTGAGGCGAACGAGCTAGGAGGATGAGAGCATCGCAAACAAGCGAACGTGAACGGAAACAGAATATGTCGTGAGAAATCGGGAATCGAGCAGTGAAGAAGTCGCACCCGCTATTTTTATTTCAGGAGAAAGTCCAGGCTGGTTATCCCAACGCCCGCCATCGTCACCCAGTCTCAGGAGTACTGTAGTCGCAGCCTTCTTCCCACTTCTGATCCCATTTCCCATCCAACTTCGTTTCCCTTCAACCAAGGACAGGCCGTCCCTTTCCTTCCCTTCCCTCCCACACACGACTCCTGAAGTCAAAAATAGGAGATTTGCTCCTTACCCAGAGGTCCACACAGGCAAGATCCATAACTTCTCGCCATGAAATCCCCCCCGCCTTCGGATCGCGTCTTCGATTCCTCCACCGGAACCAATCGCCTCCCTCTCGCTGCCCCATCGCGACGCGGCACGGCACCACCAGCCTGACGCCGCGCATTGCATATCCACGCTTCCTCGTGTCACTGACTCACTGCTGTTCGTCGTTTTTGCGAGGCTGGTGGGAAAATGGAGGTTATAGCGAGGCGTTTCAAGGTGTTCCCGCATTCACTGTTCATGGGGGCAGATGAGGGAAGGCTGGGACCTGAGGAGTGCAGCTGGCAGAGCAGAGCGGCTGCTGCAGGTCTGGACAAGGGCAGTGATGATTCATCCATCTTGCGCTTCTGTATCATCCACATCTCGCTTGAGATGAGTCATGGGAATTTTATCCCGTCCCATTAGAAACTGAAATTCCCGTCATTCAATCGTTCATTACCGCTAGAAAACCGGGCAACCACAAGGATGTGAGGGTAGCACTGTAGCAAGGCTTCTTGTGTCGAGTCATATGGCATGTGGTGGTGACGTGGTGACCTGGGGTGGGGTGGGAAATCATAGCAACACAAGGGCGGCGTCAGGCTGTACAAATCTTCTTGCTTATAGTTTCGCTGCAAAACACGCGTAGCGCAAAACTAGAAAGCGAAAACTCAAATCCCCAGGCAAAAGGTGATTTTTATAGCCCCTTGGGCGGGAACCTCCGTCTACAAGCATGATGACTGGTACAGCATTGGCTTGCATCGTCTGGCGTCTCACTGTTACTCCTTCGCATGAAATGAAACCCATGGTAACCAGTGACGCAAAGTCCGAAATTCAACAATTCCACACACAGGTCAATGTTTCGTGCCTTTTTCCAAAATGTCTTAGCAATCAGAGTGAAAACAACACACAATCAACCATCAGTTGAAATCCAGTTGCGTACAGTTTCGAAACTGACACCAGGGACATTTCGAGCATGGTTCACACACCCCCCCCCCCCCCCCCCCCCCGGTCCCCAACATTCCCCACAAACACAAACATAAAATCCACACAATAACACGCTCCAAGCATTCGGACACTAGACATTCACCAATCATGCTCACAGCTCACAAACACACTCTACACTCAAAACGACCAACACCCAAGACTAAGAGACTCCGCATAATCCTCAACCAACCTCACACAGATCCCTTTCGCTTACTCATAAACGCATCAAGCTTCACAGGCGGACCACAGGCGGGATTTGTTCGCCGTGTCTTCTGGAGCGTCAGCCTCGGAATGTCCGGCATTCTGGGTTGTTCAAGTTAATGAAGGCACGACTGGCGCGATGAAGGCGGTCGATCACATCCTGGTTGCTAATCCCAAAAATGGCAGCGAGGTCGCTGGGCAGCATGTTCTCAGCCGCGCATACCCAACCATGATCTCAGTAGCCCTGCGGGCAACTCAGTGACGCTCGCGGAGAGCGCCGGGTTCCGCTACCGTGATGGGCTCCGGCAGCAGCGACGGACGGATGCCGCGAGTCCTTGGCGGCTCATCCGCCAAGGGATCAGGTGCCTCGAAATCGCAGGTCTGCACATTGTCGTCGACGGAGTTGAACTCCGCCGCCGACATCCCTGCCGGACCGAGATTCAGCGCCGCCAGCTGCCTACCGAGAAACTCCAGATCCTCAGTAGTGTCACCAGGGTCGGACGTCCAGGAGCTCCCGAGGGGCATGAGTGCCCTCGACGAGCGTGGCAGGATGCCGGAATGGAACCAGCAGCGCTGGATCGTCTCGTCCTCGACCTCTTCCCACGCTTCGTACATGTAAATGACCGTCTCGGACGCGGTCGGCTTCAAGTTCTGCATGGAGGCGGGGCTCCCACGATCGTCCCACCGACGGAGCCAGTCCGCGATAACCCTCTGACGGAACCTCACCTTGACCGCGCTGATTACACCTTGATCCAGAGGCTACGTGAAGGCCGTGGTGTTTGGAGGGAGGTACACCACCCTGATGTTGCTCAGTTTGACAGTGCGGAAGCCCAAGATGTCATGTCGCACCGCGCTCTCCGTATCCACGCGGTGACTGCTCGCATTGTCCACGAGGAGTACGACCTGCCGCTCCTCTGTGAAGAACTTGGCGTTCAAAGACTCGATGAACGCCGTGAAAATCTGCAGCCCAATAAAAAACGAATGCCGAGTATTATGCAAAGGAGTAGCACGCGTGGCAAATGCGGACACAACCGAGACATAGGCAAATACTTGAAGGAACCAGACTAGAAAACAACCACACTCACCTCGCTTGTCATCCAGCCGCGTTTGCTGTAGCGTCAGTACACGTACGGCTCGGGGTCGAATCTATTGTCGGTGAAGTCCCGCGGGCGCCGAACTTTGGCGATCACGATGGGGCGGAACGCCTCAGAACCGTCCACGTTGCAGATGAATGCAACGGTGAGGCGGTCCTCGGCAGTTTTAACCCCTGCCGTCGCCTCTGTCGCCCACGTTTTCCTTGGCTGGCAGACAGGGAATAAGGCAGTCTCGTCAAAATTCATAAGGTCCTTGGGCGACACACGGAGATGAAGAATCAACTCGGGCAACCAGAGACGCGCCTGTGTCAGAGCGTCCATGTCGGCCGCGGCAGCTGTTGTAGAGGCTTCTCCTCTACTTTGCAGGAACTAGGATTTGTACTAATCAGTAGAGCACTGTCTTAGCTTTCCAACGGGCCGTGGATCACCTCGATCGCCTAAGTATCGAGCGAGATATGGCTACTAATGTGAAAGCTATGCTCTATGTTGAAGGATTGGAAACTCTATGGAATTTGTGTTCGAATGTACTTCATACAAAATGATTCACAATGTTTAGTATATTCCATGCAATACAAAGCAAACAAATTTATATGAACTGCAATGCATCGAGTCGCACATGTAACCTCGAGTCACTACACTCTCGAATGTTCGAGTAGCATTTCGAAGGGGTGAAATTCGGAACTCGAATTTCACCGAATCGAATTCTCCTTCAGTCTCGATTCTTCTTGTGCTGCCATGTGGCACCGAAGTGATGGAGTCTTCCGAAGTCAAACTTCAACCCCACGCAAACCTGCAGCTCACTCGAAGGTGAGCACCAAAAACAGCACCGCTTGGTGGTTGGGGGCAAAACCGCCCCACGCAACCTCCAACAGCAGCCTCACCGGCACGAGTGAGATTACGGAAGCCCAACCGGTGCATCATGCGATGCACCCAAGTGAGCGAGCATAGGAACCGACGGTCGATGTTCAATTCGCGGCGGAGCAACCCGGCCTTTTCCTGAATGAGGCACAGTGTCAAGGGGACGCCTGCCTCACAAGCGCAGCGAACCCAATTGCCGAGCTGACGCTAAAGCTGGGGGAACATGGGCTGCCGCAGAAATGTGCGACCATGGACCTTCGTCACAGCACGCCACTTCTTCTCGCCTCGCAGGATCTTGCCAATCGTGTTGCGATCAGGGCAGATTCCAAACCTGGTGAAGCACCACCATGCAAGGTCTTCGTGATGCAGGTGGAGGTTGTGCGCAAAGTGCTGACAGATTTCTCACTTGGTGACGATGGGAATTCGCTGGCGCTTAGAGAGGCGAGCCATGTTGCTTAAGCAAGCGTGTCGATCGGAACGGTGACGTGAATCAACGGTCGGTCAACTGCCTTTGAAGTCTCGTCAAACCCTCCCCACCTGGTTCACGAGGGGTAAGAGAACTGATGACGTGGCACTGGGGGTTGATTCGAGGTTGGATGACGTGGGTGAGAACCTCGCAATTTTTTCGCCAGCCTGATATTTCGAGAAAGTTCATTTTTCGCTGGTGCTGAACACGTCGCAAACCTGAGATGACCCTCTTGTTAGAATACTAGCGAGAATGACGAGGATGATGGACTAGGAAAGGGGGAGGGGTACAAGTACAATGTCGAGAGAAATTGTGTACCCCCTAAGGCTAAACCCACTATAGCCTAAACAACTGTAAACACATAAACTAAGCCTAGATACAACTAAGCATATATGTTTGACACACCCCCATAGGCGAAGTGGGGGATAGCCAGAGCAAGCAATGGTCACAAGACCAGTCAAGAGA